AGGCCTGTGCACTCCTTTAGAGATGATAGCTTTCTGGACTGCTACTTAAACTCCCAGAAAACTGTGTGTAACCAGTAAAATAGGAAGCAGAAACAAAAATCCAATATCGATTTCAGTACTCCATAATGACCAGGTTAAAACTTATTTTCTGCTACAAATTTCCACCTCTTTCATCACAAATTTTATGGATGTTTTTTCTTATTTTTTTCTCCTTTTTAAGAGACTACTGCAGTATCTCCATCATATTCAGTCTGAAAGGCACAATAGAGTAAACATTTTACTGAAAAATTGTGTGAGCTTGATTGTCGTAATGTGTTCACATGAACAGGGGTTGTTTATGAGGACTGAATATAGATTTCTACTTACATTTCCTACATCTGTGGACCTTGTATTTTAGAGAAGAAAATGCCATATCCTGAGATTTTAGGAAATTTCAGACACTTGGAGAACACATTACTTCAATTTTTTTAATTAGTATAACAAGCACCTTACTGCCATCTAGTGAGCAATGTAAAAGCAACTAACATATCAAGGTGCATGAATATTTTCCACCAAAAGCCATTTTTCTCTTTCATAAGTCCAAACAGAAAGCAAAGGCAAATTTAGGTATGTAACACTGCTAGAAAATAGATACTATAAAAAAGCTTTGCAAGATAATACTGAAGAGGGGAAGGCAGTCCAGCAAAAGGAGGTAAGTTGGAATTTTTTTTAAGATCATGTCATCCCACTATCCTGGGAATGCAGCCTTCTCTCCTCCACAGATCTTGATGGGATCACCCACACTTCAGACAGTAGGGTATATTTACTTGACAACATCTATATATTCTGTTTTCGGTTGCTGCCCGAATGCAAGGCAGGTAGCACACCTGTGAGCTTGAGCAAGGCTTTAGTGGCTACCAACAGAAGAGGCATACCCAGGCATCACCAGTAAACATCAGCACCATCTGTCTGTTCTGGTTTGAGAGAATATGAAATTGGGTTGCCACAGGGCTTCTGTCTATCCATGAGGTTCAGGCACCTACGAGGGCAGGACATAGCTCTGCTTTTTGTCTGAGCAGAGGTGACAAATTTTCCACCTTTTCCCAAAGGCTGACTGAGCTCGAGACTTGGACCAGAGTTTGCTAGTCTAAGTTCAGACCTGAGAAGGCAGAACCACAGGTGGGACCCCAAGGGCAGGAGCCTGTGAATCCCTTTGAATGTCACTGATGGAGATCACTACGCTTGGCACAGTGGGGTTACTACTCTGCGGGTGAAGGTCTCTCTTGGTCAGCAACACCAGACAAAGCTAGATGGGTTATTTTGGATAGCAGGCTCCTAGCTGTGATGGTCTCAGGGCACATCATCAGCATGCTGCTGAGGGTAGGTTCAGACGTCCAGCATTGGTTTTCTGGTGCAATACCTCAACTGTCCTTCACAGTTCACTGCCTTGTAGAGGACAGCATATGTCTAACAGGTGGTGTTCAGAGCTGGCTTTCTCTGTCCTCACAACTGCCCAAAAAATGTGCTAATGCACAGAGACATTTTGGGCACTTTATTTAAATACATGCCTGTTAAAGGAAGAAAAAAAATGGGATAGAGCATAAACACACTTGAATACACCACCACCCCCCGCAGGAGACAGGCAAAGGAAAACTGATGGGGCCTTGCAAGGACTATGTGATTTATCAAGTCAAGAAAGTGGTTTCGCAATGTTTGTTTATATTCAGAAACTCATAGATTCTGTCAGCATTTACAGAAGCAGAAGAAAGCTTGGAACGGGAAGTGCTTTAGAAACCACACTGCCCCATCACCCAGCAGCTAGCAGTGTCAACCACCCTTTTTTGCCATGCTCAGTCAAACACATCAGTAACGTGCTCTGTTCTGTTCCTATCACACAGGCCCTGCATTGTTTCTGACACCAATGCCACAATAAGCAGAGCTAGCTGGAGGAGGAAGGGAAGAAATGAAGCAGAACTTTTCTGTGGCAGGTGTGTTTGTAAAGGAAAAATGTGAATTCATCTCCAAACACTAGCACATTCCCCAAAGGTAGGTTACAGGAATAAATATATCTATGCTACCTCTATGCTACAAAGTGGCAGATTTTACAAAGTCTGTATTTATCTTTACTCAGCCTTACTGCTTCCACCAGCTGACATTAGCAGCAGTCAGAAGTCAGGATGAAGTTCTTGTCAAAACAAATGGCACCACCCAGCACTTCTCAACCTTTGCAGTCGGTGCACACACAGCTGACCCCACCAGTCTAGCCTTAGCAAAAGCCAAAGAGAAGACTTCCCTAATTGGTAATTTTAATTATGGTCATTCTGATCCAATTCTGCTTACAAAACAGATGCTTTCTCCAGCAAAGTTTCTTATGCTATAGATTTTCTGTCATGCATGACAAGCAATGCAATATATTTGTTAAAATGTCCCCGTAAACCATGAGGATAAAACCAACTGCTAGTTTCACCAGCACAATCTTGAACATCTGTTCCAGGAAACGGTGACAGATATCTTGTTACAATATACTACACTAATTTTTCCAAGATATTGTTATATTAGGTCATTTAAATTACAATGAGGTGTTTTATTACTACAAGCAAAAACAGACAAAACCTCCATAACCATTTCTAAACTGCTTTAGTGGCCTAAATCACTGTCTGCTTACATTGCCACCGCAGCAGTGACACCCTACCACTATCAAGCCCTTTGCCAAAACTGACCCATCCTTGTGGGCCTGGATATGGCATGACATGCAGGAACAGAGCCTGTAGCACAGGGGAGGAAAGGAAGGATTTAAGAGATTTCCCTTTGTTCATGGTAAGCCCTACTGACTTCAGAAGAGCTGTACAGCAGGATGAAGGTAGCCCAGTGTCCCTCTTATCATACTTTAACAGCATCACTTAATTTTGTCAATTCAAACACCAAAATCAGCATTCAGTTCAAGTATTTCATCACTGGGCAAAGAAAGAAGGCTGCCTGTCTTCTCCATTTAGACATTGAAGAGTGATATATATTTGGATTTCATCTTGGATTTCATTTATGAAAATTTTCATTTTTTAATCACTTGCAGAAGTCTTGAGAGTACAGCAGCAGCCAGAAAGTCTTTCTTGTTGCTCTTTTGAACTCTGTTCCATGTCTATATATACTTAATTCCATATGAACTTCAAATTATAGCTATTAAACTAACATTACATTCTGCAGATAAAACCCATTTTTGTCCTTCAGGATTTTTTCTGCTCACAAGAGGACTGCTTTTTTCTATTTTTACTGCATTGATTTTACTGGTTTTCTCTCTCATTTATAGGTATTTCTGAATATCTTTTGACTGAGGGATGTTAACATTATGCAAAGTGCCTACTTCAGAACTGCTCATTTTTTTCAGCTTCACTGTGTGACTACTTTTCAAATCATTGCCATTTCCTATGGCTCAAAACAGCAGCACGAAGAGCAGGGACAACGAATTTAACTTCTGTGAACTCAGAGAGGCCATGACTGTCACTTTTCTTACAAGCAGTGAGATTGAGGAAAGCTTGATATTAAATTCAGTGCTACTAGAGTTGGATCGTGTAAGACAGTCATCTATCAATACATTTTAGTAAGCTTAAATGTAAAGCTTGTCTCAATCTGAAATCAGTGGGAGTACGAAGATTGTTGAAGTGCTGTTTCCCACCACAGCCAGAGTGTTCAACATGAGCAAATGGTTTTTGTTCATCCTCCTTTTAATGACATGCCCTTGTTTGGGGGGTAGGGGAGAGGGGGGAGTCAAACAGCAGCACTGAAAAGAATAGGGTTTATCCTGCCTCCAACATTTTGGGAGGTGTAATCAGAGAATGGCCACCATCAACTCTGTGTGAAAAAAACAAGACAAGGGGATCTCATGTGCCATCAAGTCGATTGTGCCTGTAGGCAGACATTTAATATTTTTTTTTTTGCAATTTCACACATGCTGATCAAGCCTGATAACTATGCAAGTATTTTGCTCCCATAATTGTCAGAGGGTTGTTCCAGAGCCTTACCTTTCTGCTCCTCAGTAATCTTGAATCCCTTCAGGTGGGCAAATATGCCCAAGGAAGATTATTATTGTGACAGTAAGAATATGAATGGCATGGTCCCTAACTTGTCAGAACTTAAGTTCCTAGACCGGAACTTAAAGGAAAATATTACAAGAGATGGGAAAGAAAAGGAGCACCTTCTGGATAGAAGTCAGAGCTTTGGGAGCAAGGAACACTAAAATCACAGGTTAAGAAGTGCAAGCATGCCCACAAGATCATGTTTCTCCCACTTCTGTAAATTTAATTTTGTGAAAAATCTTCTTAGATATTTTTATATCCCTCTTTTCAGATAAGAGTGGATTCTTTTGCAGGAAACCAGAAAAAATAGTAGGATTTGTTCAAGACACAAGATATAATGACAGGTGCCTCGCTAATCCCTTTCTTCTTTTATAGAGCTTGTATTCATCAAAAATGGCACAGAACATTTCCTTTTGCCTCTGCTCTTTATGTGCTTGTTCCGTATCACTAAAAAAAAAAAAAAAAAAAAAAAAAAGAGAGAGAGAAATTGTACTGCCCATTCTGGCACAGGTGCCATACCATATATACATACCCACATACATACCATACCAACCTGATCTAGTTGAAAATGACCCTGCCATTGCAGGTAGATTACCTTTAAAGGTCCCTTCCAACCCAAACCATTTGATGACTCTATGAACTGAGGCACTCAGTATTTCATTTCTGTGTAACCACACTCCTAACACAGCCACCACGTGTGCCACGTGGAGTTCATGGGTGAGTTGCTGCCCAGCTGGCAGCAATTCAACTCACAGCAATTCAAGGTTTCGGGCCCAGGGCAGTACCCTTTTCACATTCTGTGTGTTCGTGAGGCCACAGCGTACATAGATGGGTACGACCACGAGTGATGCCGTGCCCACAGAACCCACGGTGCCACAGATAAGAGAGATAATACCAGGCAGGAAGCCTCTGATATCGATAGTTTCCTTCTGCAATCACACGCACCGGACCATGTGTGCGCGCTCTCCACACACACGCGTGGTGTTGTTTCCTCTCTTTCCTCTCTTTCAGGCCCGGGAGTGCCTGAACCGAGCCCGAGGGTGGCTGTGCCGGGTCAGGGGGTGGCTGTGCCAGGAGGGGCTGGCTGTGCCGGGCCCGGGAGTGGCTGTGCCGGGTCAGGGGGAGCCGCTGCCCGTGCAGGTGTGGCGCTGCCCTGCCCCTCTTTTCCCCCCCGCCCGTTCCTCACGCGGAGGCCCGGCGTCTGCGGGCCCGAGTCCGGCCGGCCAAAGCCCCTCCCCGCGCGCCACCCCCCTGCGCCGCCCCCGGACGTGCAGTCGTCGGACGGACCATGAGCGGCGCGCCGGGGCTCGGACCGCGCGCTTCTCGCCACTGCCTCGGCGCGCGGCGCGCGCTGGGAAGGCGAAAGCGCGCGGAGAAGCCGCGCCCGCGCGGCAGCGCGGGAAGCAGTGCCATTACTACGCGGGCGAGGCAGGCTTGTACCCCGGGACGCCCGGCTGCCCGGTCCGACACTCGCTGCACCTCATCCAGCCAGAGAGGTACTGCGGGGACCGGGGCCGCCGGGGGCGGGCGGCGGGCCAGCGGGATTGCCCGAGTTGCGCTCTGGGACGCGGCGGCAGCGCCACGTCAGGCGGAGCCCCGAGCGCTGCCCGGCCCTTCCCTTCCCCGCGGCCCCGCTGCGGCCTCCGGGAGGGGAGCGAGGGAAGGAGGGAGGAAGGTGAGCTCCCGTCTCTCCCCCAGCCCCTTCCAGGCCTGCATTTCCATCGTGGCCACTTGGCTGCGAGTTTGGCGTTTCACGGGCGTGCAGCGAGGCCCGTGCTCCCCGGAATGGCGAACGGGTTAAGGGGAGCGCTTTGAGCAATGCACAGAAGTGTTTTGTGCTCTCGGTGCGATGGGAAACGCTGAACGAGCACCTCGTGCCTGCGCTCGCTCTCTTGCGATTTAAAGCCTTTGTGGCAGACCTGGGTGCAAACACCTTAAATCGCGTCGCAGTGAGATGTTCAGGGGGCACCTGCTTTCCAAAAATCCCGTTCTGCAGAACAGAGAATAGAGAAATCACACAGAAATTATCTTCACTGTGAGAATTTACAGCTTTAAAACACTTTTCTGAGCCAGGCTATAAGTTCTGTTTTAAACGTTTGCAAGCAGATGCTACAAAAAAAAAAAAAAAGGAAATCGGCCAAGATACTTGTAATCAGTGTGGCTTTTCCTCCCTTTGCAATGTAAGTTATTACAGACAGGCATTTATAACCGCAAAAACAATCACCTTAATATAGGAAGAGATCAAGATAAAAGGTATTAAATTTCTTTTCCTTCTCCCTCCTAATCTGGAGGTCTTTGTTATACATCCTCACTGACCATATTCTACAGTGTGGATTGGTTGTCCTAAAAGGAGAGCCATCCAGGTAATAATTAAGATTCCATATGTTTTTCTCAGAAGTATTTGCCTAATTTCATGGAGTGCATGTCAGCGTCCGTGATATCACAAGTGTATTCAGATGACCTTGTACCTCCAGCATACCCTGTCCTTTTTCTTGGAATTCACATGGCTATGAAAATAGTACCTGGCAGATTAATTTTTAATATTTTAAATTCGATATTAATCCCTTTTGATAGGAATAGTAAATATATATCATGCATTTTAATTGGATTTTTTTTAAACACAGCTATCTTCAACTTATAATTTGCTTAGGATTTGTAATTTAATAAATATACGCTACATTTTTAGGCATTTGTCTCCAGACATGTTGTCGCATTTTTTGTGGACTTGAATTTCAGATAGTTTTCCATGGCTAAAAACTAACAGCATGGATTTGAACCATCTTATGCTTCTGGTTCACAACAGCCATTCATAACAAAATAGTGGGGATACCCAAAATATTAATCGGCTTCATCTTCAGTCCAGCAGCTGTTCTGCCTTGAGCTGGTGGTGCACACGTGGTTTGTTCAGTGTGCCCAGATAAGGTTTGTGTGGCCTTGATTATCAGTGATTCACAGGGCTCATGTATAAGCACAAGTTGGTCAAATTATTTACTTTCCACGTGTACTAAAACCTACATTTCTTCAAGATTTTGTATCGCTGATTAGAGCAGCAAAGCAGCTTCACTTTGTAACTTGTGCAGGAGGTTGTTTTTCAAGCAAAAGGAAGAACTGCTGTCCTTGGACAGCTTGGTTTGAACATGGGCTTCATATTCCGATTTTTAATTGAACGTTCTTTGCATTTCAGTCTCCAAGCCAGCACCGTACTGGGAGGGAACAGCAGTCATCAATGGAGAGTTTAAAGAGCTGAAATTAACAGATTATGAAGGAAAATATCTTGTCTTCTTCTTCTATCCTCTTGACTTGTAAGTAAGACCACAATAGACATACCAAGACTGAGTGCAGCTACACTTGATTCATAATTCATTAATTTTTCTCTTTTTTTGAGGTCTTGTATTTTTGTTTGGTAAGGATTTGGGAGAGAAGAAAGGAGTGACAGAAGAAAATATATTCTTTGCATTTGTGTTTTCATCATGCATTGGTAAAATTGTAATACAATCTTTGTCCTAATAAGTGTGTCCACTAATTTGTTTCTCCACACAAAAAAACCAACTTTGTATAACCCATTCAGGCAACTTCTGTGTTCTGTTTGATGTTGTAAATCACTGCTGCAAATAGAAGGCAGCATCCCATCTATATTTTCTAGAGTGTATATAGTGGTGGCATTTTTCCTTTAAGCTCATCCCATAACAACTATTAACCTGCTTTATTAGAATGCAGTAAATTTACTGATTGAGTGAAAACATCTCTGCTTTCTGAGAGACAATCCCATGCTTTTCCACAAAATGAAGGGGGCAGAGATACATAACTACTTTAATATTATAATATCACTAGCTTCAAACCCCTATAAATTGTAATATTTACCACTTTATTTCTTCTGTAGTCAAAAAAGTTGAAGACAAATTAATTAAAATTTGCAGACATGCATGGTAACAACAAATTATAGTATCACCCTCTGAAAAATTGGCTTATTGTACTTAAATTCAGCCACTTAATATTCATAAAGTCTAAAAGAAAGTAACTGTAAAAAACTCTGAATCCAGATTGTAAGATAACTGTAGATTTATAATTCTCAGTAATAAACCATTTGTAACTAAGCCAGAGTCTGAGGGTGGAAGATTTGTCAGGCAGCATTTTAGTTAAATACTTGAAGAAGCAACAAAAATAAGCAAAAGCTGAAATAATTTATGATAAATCCACCGTTTTAAGTTAAGCAAAGAACTTACTGGATGTCTTATGAAATTTTGACTTTATCTTGTCTTAAATTTTCTAGTACGTTTGTCTGTCCAACTGAGATAATCGCCTTCAGCGACAGAATTGAAGAATTCAGAGCAATAAATACTGAAGTAGTAGCATGTTCTGTGGACTCAAAGTTCACTCACTTAGCATGGTATGTACCTTACTTTTGCCTTTCACTAAAAATTATTCATGGATCCGTCTTATGCAACAATGGTCCCCAGATTTGTAGCCTGTGTAGGTGTATCATAATGTTTGAAAGCGTGATGCTGTTGACACAAATGTTTAAAATAAAAATTTTTAACCCTAGTGTGTGAAAGTACCTTTATCTTTGAAGCTTGTTTAATTCATATTGCTTGAAATACGTCATGTCTCAGGTCAAAAAATAATACAAATACAAAAAAAAAAGATAATGCAAGTATCTGTAAATGTTTCACACTGTCCCAATTTGTGAGCACAGTGGCATAAAGCAAATACAACTGACAAGAAAGATGTGGCCAAAACCTGCAAAAGATCTACTGAACATTTTGCCTGAACTGTAAATAGTGTTCATCTCCTTTGTATGCAGAACAAAAAAATGTCTCTTGCACTAAATCCTTCTGTCTGCACTGTTCTGGTTTGTGACTTCTGGCTTTGTGTAGGGAATGTAAACCTTTACGAGAAATACATCTGTATCTCATTTCTTTCAAAGGATTAATACTCCTCGAAAACAAGGAGGACTCGGACCAATGAAGATTCCCCTTCTTTCAGATTTGACACATCAGATTTCAAAGGATTACGGAGTGTATCTGGAAGATCAAGGACATACACTCAGGTATTTGACTTGGTTACAGTTCTCTTGGGTTTTTGCTGGGGTAGTACTTACTGCTTTATTTTGAAATTTGAAATTTATTTGAAATTTTTTTTTGAGATCAGACTTTACTTAGGGATTCATACCAAGAGACAAAATAAATGTAGAAGAACACAAAAAAGTCATAATGAGTCAGAACACGGGTCAAGGTTAATATCCTGTTTAACAGCAGTCATCAGCAGATACCTAGGGCAGGGCAAATATGCAGGATTCCACAGAACTGCAGTTGCTCAAGGACCTCCCATGTCCAAGTGGAGTTAAGACTAAGGTTACCTCATAGCTGTTTCATAAAACGGAATAGTTGCTTTTGGGATTCCTGTAATTCCATAGCATCTGCTGCATCCCCTGGCAGGACCCGTCAAAGCTTATTTTATGTTCTGCAGAGAAGTGTCCTTTTCTGTTTTTAACTTACCCTCAGCTCAGGTCATCTGATACCCAGGTAAAGAATAGTAGGTTACCAGTATTCTGAGGCAGTGGGTATTGTATGGTGTTTGCAAAGATCAAATTCCTCCCATCCAGCAGACATAAAATAGTGCATAAACACAACACTATAATTAATTCTGTTTCCTAACACACACAAATTTTTTTTCACAGAGGCCTTTTCATTATTGACAATAAGAGAATCCTTCGACAGATCACAATGAATGACCTTCCTGTTGGAAGATCAGTGGATGAAACACTTCGTTTGGTACAAGCATTCCAGTACACAGACAAACATGGAGAAGGTGCTCTTTTAAATATTGTCACATGGAAGATAGTTTTACTTAGACTGGAAGCTGTGTTTGTAGCTTTTTGGAGGAAAGTGACTGGCATCATGCCGTGACTGAAGTGCTTTGATTGCCCTCCTACAAGGTCCTGGGGTTCCAGTACCTCCTTAGGTTGTTTCTGGAATAGTAATTCACGTTTTGCTTCACATCCATGAGAATGCAGAGCATAAAGCATTCCTTAGTCTGAATTAAGGCATTATGTACCATGTGTCAAAAGCAAAAATTTGTACAAAATGTGAGGCCGTGAAGAATCAGGCCCAATATTCCAGTACACTTTTGCATACTAAAATAATTGAGATGCAGGCCATCCTTGTGCTGTGCCATTCACTGAGGACCTGTGACGAGTAACTGAGTGTGTTTCGTGTCACGATACGTGGGGACACTGTGGAAGTTACAGTGCATTACTTGTGTTTTCTTTACAAGGGCTATGTGATCATCTTCCCCTGACAAAGAAGCTTTCACTGGCTTCAGGTCATTACTTTGTCTCAAGACTTCATATTCCTCCAGTTCAAGCACAACGTGAACTTTTCACACTTCTTTAGATAATGTGTTTAAATAAACACATTCATTTATTTGAAGATTTGTTTAAATACGAATACACATGTTCAGCAGCTTAACTTCCAATTCAACTCAATTTCACTGAGCATTTGAAAGTACCTTTATGTGAAGGTGCAAATCATTATTATGCTTTGCTGTACAGATTTGAAAAGATAAATGCAGGTACTTAGGCTACACACATTTGATTAAGGAAGTTTACCCTCATTCAGCTACAAAGCCATTTTACAGAATATTGATCTGCAGTGTGTTTCCAGAGTACCACATTTTTTCCAGCTTTTGCATGAATGCTGGGAGGAGACTCTCTAGATGCCTTATTGGCTTCTTTGCACAGAATGGGAAAAACAGTTCTCCACAATTCCTAATTGCATTGGTGGCATTTTGTCTGTCAGAATGCCTTAAAGCAGTGTAAAATGGCATAACTCATTGGGCTGAAACCCCAGGGGGAGAGCTCTGAACAGGTAAGAGAACGTGCAGCTGTACAGGAGCTCACGGGGCCCCCAGCCACACTGTGTGGTAAACTTGTGCTACAACCCCTTTAGGCCTAAGCAAGGCTCCAAACAAAATCTCTTGTGGAATCTTTGAGCTGATCTCTTTGCTTAAAAAATTTCCCTAGTTTTGGTTTTAAAGAAAGAAGGGTAGGTCTCTGTAGTCATGTGAATTTTATTAAGAAACTTATTTCTACTAGAATAGGTGTTCATTCTCAGGTACTGCTTTGCCAGTACTTTGTCTAGAAGGCCAGAAGAATTAAACCAAGGCATAGTTATCCATCCAGAGATCCGCAGTTCTCAGGGTGGGGGTGGTGTCATTGCACATTTAATAGTTTCAGATATTTACATGTGACACTTGTGTGGTGTTTTACTTCAAGGTCAGAAAGAAAATATTAAGTGCACAAAAGTCAGCATGTGCAAAAATACTTCAGCTAACTTTGTCCTTTTTTTTCCAGTTTGCCCTGCTGGTTGGAAACCTGGCAGTGAAACAGTAAGTGACTGTTTATATTTACATGCATTTACTGCTAACAAACACTCAGTTATTATTTCCCGTAGAGCCAAATCCAAAATCTTTGCAACCTTCAATGAGAAGGTATGAGTAATCTCACATTATTACAGTTACAGCTTTTGGATTACTATTGATTTCATGGGGATCTCATTTCCCTCACACTAGACATGTTCCAGTTGTTTCAAATTCCCAGTGTGTGAGCAAAATTCTATTGATCAGCAAAGAGTTCATGATCAAGAACTTTTTTCCTGTTAACGTGATGAGGGGAAGTTGGAAACTCTTGACGTCTTTCTATCTTCTTGATTATTTGTCCATATAAATTCCTGGTGCTGTTGGTTCTTATTGCAGATCCTAGACACTACCCAAAAAAAGAAAGATACAAGTTCCCAGGCTGCTGTAGTATCTGCCAGAGCCAGTGTGCCACTGCCAGTGCTCCAGCAGAGAGCACTGCTTTGCTGTGCAGTTGGTCTTCCTCTGTTATTCCTCCATGTGACTGCAAGCACAGGAGCCAGCGTTCAGATAAACACCCATTGAACTTGTTTGTGTTCTCTGGCCTGGAGCAGCCTCAGCAGAATAATGAAACTTTCACTAGAGGTCTGAGCTGCCTAGTAGGGATGAGATCACTGTCATGTATTTGAGCATGTGGCTTCCTTCTGAACCAAATGCTGATGACAGAGCATTGTTGTTTAAGAGCTGTCTCAGCAAAAAGCAGGTCCCAGCAGCCTCTAAGCAGAGTTAGTGAGCATTGCACTTGAAAGTAAAAAACAGTGGAATGTTAAACCGTGTTTCTTCAGTGGATGTGAAAACTTCCCAGGATGACTGGAGGCCAGGAGTCAATTTTTTCAAGCTAGCAGAGGAGTGTTGTAGTGGGGGAAGCTGGATATTAAGACTGTAAAATGAAAAGAGAGCTGGCTGGCCTAACATTCATATTTTGGCACCAAAAACTTCTGCCCTCTATAACTAGAATCATCTAAATAACATGACATTAACATGTTTTCTAAAAAACAGTCTTACAGTGCTGAGATTAACAGCTCCAATACTGCCAGTTTAAAAATCTAAAACAATACGTAAGCATTCTTCATCTCCTCTGTGCAAAAGTTGCAGATAATTTAAATAGCAGAGTAGTTCAAAAAGTCTTTCTCAAAGATGTAGTCATGCTTTCTAAATGTGTTTGATTTAATTAGATTAAACCAGAGGAAGCCATGAGAGTGTGGTGGCCAAGGGAAGACCTGTAAGTAAATTGTAAGACTCTGGATTACAGACATTAGTTTATTAAAATATCTTGCTTTTGGGGCAAGCTGTCAAAATTCTTCCTTTGGTAGGCTGCACTCTCTCTCATGCCTCAATTAGTTAAATCTCTCTGCTACTGCCGTGAAGTACCCTTAGAGATCAACAGTAATCTAGTACCAAGTCAACTGATAAATTATTCAGTGCTGCTAGTGAGTTGGCCATAGTATCTTACTATGAAATACTGTGCTGTTTTGGCTTTATAGTTTGCTGTGTTTTCATGGCTTTTGACTAACATTGTCGTTTTCTTTCTTGCACAGATAATTCCAGATCCAGCTGGAAAACTGAAGTATTTTGATAAGCTAAACTGAGGCTTGCTTCTGTTGAACTACATAGGTCACATTCAATTTGATTTTTGCCAATAAAATTTCATTAATTTTGGTACTTTTGTGGGTTTGTCTAATATGTAACTGCGGTAAAACATTAAAGACCTCATTGTTTAAACAGAAGTCTAACCTGTGTAAGGCACAGGTACCTTATTAGTTATCAGAGAATATTCTTACGAACTACATGTTTTTCCTTTAAGTCTTGTTTAGATGCTCAGTCTTCCCCAGATTTTCTTATTTTAGCAGCTTGGGCTTAGGTTCATGGCTTTTTGGTATTACTAGATTACTCCCACAAAACTCTTTTGTTTGGTGACATTCTAGGAGCTACAGCTAGAAAAGAGCCATTTGGTTATGGTACATTAGTCTGTAGTCCAGTGGCAATAGGAACTAACCAAAAAGCCAGAAATAAGTGACAGTTGCTGAATTAAATTTCCAGTCCATCTGAAGCTGGAAAACATTTTTAAACTACTAAGAACATCCCCTGTGCTACATAAATCAGTACAACTGCTCTGAAAAAAATACAGCTATGCCAATTCATGTGATTCAAGAGCTGAACCAGTGAATTTTCCACGCTTGAATTTGTAGTTTATTTGCTGATAAGATCGATCTGTTTTCACATAGTCTGAATTTTGTCCCTGTCCCTACACTGTTAACAGATGAATGTAGTGGTTAGCAGCTCCCAGTTTTAAGGGAGTAATTGTAGTCTTTCCCAGGATTAGTACTATGTGCAATGATCACATTGCACTCTTGTGGCTCATATGCATGAATTTCTTCTTTCAAGGGAATAGAACATCTCCATGTGAGATAACACTTGTGTGCACTGGAATACCCCAATGTCTTGCTTGCTCCTTCCCACCTCTCCCTCTTTTTGATATGGTATTCTAGAGTCTGTGCTACTGGAAAAACAGCAACTGAAATGTGTGTCAGCTTTTCACCAGGGTCATCCTTGGAAAGGCAGAAGGCGCCTTCCTCCCTGCTCCAGTCTACACCACTACATCATTACTCTTGGTTGGATCCCACACACCTGAGAACTTAATTCCCCTTCCTCCACCCAACCATACAATCCCTTCCCTATACATAGACACTTCAGTTCTGCAGAACTAGACCAGCAGTTGCATTTTCACTGTGAAGTTACGTGATTGTTTAGACTCAGGTGAGTACTGTGCAGTTCTCGGGGTTGTTCACTGCAGACACAGAGCAGAAGTGGCTGCTTGACAAATAACCCCTAAGCACATGCCTACTGCAGAGGGAGCCAGGCCAGAGCGCAGAGCTCCACCAAGCCCCAGCCTCCCCATCCCTGCGAGGCCTGGGGAAAGAAGTCCCTCATCCCACCCAGAGTGTAACAGAGGCAGAGCCCCACAGGCTGGTAAATGCTGCTCCAGCCCATGTGATCACAAAGCCTGGAGGGCAGCACGTAGAGAGGCGGTTCCTCACATTACTAGGCTGTAAACCAGCTGCTTGAATTTTACTTGGGATTTTTTTTACAGCCTTATCAACCCTGAAACAGCAAAAACATCAATGCAGAGAACGTTCAAATAACTCCAAGCCACTGCAGCGTGACAAATGCAGGCCCAGCTGTTACATGGATATTCACAGTAGCTCAAGGCACAGCATAAGCCCAACACTTGTGCCTCCACTAGAAATGGTGTCTGTGCCCTGCTCCCCAGAGGCTTTGCCCACTTCTCCAGCCAATGAGACATGCTGAAGGCAGAGATGAGTTATCACCCATGTGTTGAACATGCTCTACCCAGGCCACAGTTCTTTGTGGAGCCAGGAAAGTAGAGAGTTACAGCAACAAAACCACAGGATGTATCATGGTAGGTCATACAGCAGCAAAAGCATCAAACTAAAGCAGATGTCAAAAGCTGTACAAACCCTGAGCCAAGAACAGAAAACAGGACTGAGAACACTTAGTGACTGAAGAAAACTGGGGCCATCTGCAGACTTTGACCACTGTAAATTTAGGCTCACAGCAGTGTAGCTGCATCAGCTTTGAAGCCTTTTTTAAATTCACGTTGGTGTTTTCAATGCATGCAGTAAGGAATTGGCTAAGGAATTATATTTTTTGTCTAAATGCAGTTCAATAGGCATAAAAGGTCTCAGGGAAATAGTCCTTAAGCAAAGACCTGAGTTGCCATGTGACCGCACATGTTTGAAATGAAGAAATGACAAAGCAGTCTGTTCTTCCAGTACTCCTCACCTGAGGTTTGAAACAGTGGAAGAATTAGATGTCACACACCTTTGCTTTCCCAAATCCTGGGATGTATTCAGGGGCCTCTCTTGGAAGTGCATGAAATGCAGATGCCATTGTGAACCTGTCTTCTCAGCAGAAAAAGCAAAAATGCTCCTGCAAAGAAACTATATAATAAAGAGACACAGTCTTCAACTTTCACTGCTATTTTGGGTAAGCCTCTCACACCCCTCGACTGCTCTCACTGCTCTCTCAGCTGTTAAAATATATGTGGTGGTGAGGTCTGCAGGTGAAAGCCACCTCCCCAGGCAGGATGGGTCTAGCTGAGACCCAGATGTCACTTCCAGAAGTATTGAAGAAGCATGAATTTCAGATAAAAATAACAGCACTGTGAAGCTGTCTTCTCAACACAAAAAGCAAAGAGCTGAACAGTTACCAGATAAAGTAGTGACACTGTGAGCAAGGACCACAACCTGTAGCATTCTCCTTTGACCAGTCCCCAGAGTTGCATTCCCCTCTTCCAGCAACCTCCCATTTGTGCTGTGTAAGAGAAGGTAAGGAGCAGCCAATTCCCAGCAGTGCCTAAGCCTCAGGGACAGGAGCCCTGCAGAGATAAGGATCTCTGCTGTCAGGGCAAGTGCTCCAATATCATCATCCAATTACAACTTCCACAAAAGGAGTCCCCAGTTTCTCTTTCTTGAAAGCTGAATATTTACCCTTTTATTTTCCTGTTAACTAGGGCCTAGCCTGTGCATCCTCTCTCCCACACCTAGTTAAAAATGCATTCAGAGGAGAATCAGCAATCAAACCAGTCTGTCACCAGACAAAGGCTGGACTGAATGTGCCGTAAAACCAACTGAGCATGCAGTAAGTTTAGAGTAGGTTTCTGAACTAAAACCCTCTCTCAGCAGCCCCTGCTGCATCAGCTCATCCAAGCTTCTTCCCAGAGTGCTGAACACCACGACATGCCTGCAAAGGAATGGTGCATATTGGAAAAAGGGATATCAGAAGCTGTAAGTTTGAGTAATAATTTTAATATTTTTTTTTAGCCACAGAAAAATAAAAACATTTAGAAGAAAGCGCTTTCTTGGGCACTGAGTTCAGCCAGTCCCACATAAATCTCCTTTTATATCACCATTAAGCAAGTGGATAAGGGGAGGCAATCCTGCTCCCCCTCCTCATGGTATTCCAAGACATGATGGCCACAGAAACATTAACTTCCCGCTACAGAGCCCCAGTCAGTTATATGGATAGGCTTACTATAAATACAAAGATTATCTACCAATTCCTTTAGGCTTCTGTGGTAATGGTTAGTCACCTACAGCAGTGACGGGTTGGACATTAAGTTTCAACATAAACCCAACATTAATCACTATGTTAAAATATTTTAATTCTGAGATCTGAGAACAATTTTCTCTCACACACAAAGGTATAAAGCAGCATGCATACCCTGGAACAAAGACACATGTAGCCTATCACCAGAGAGGGTGACAACGTGGAGTTACCTTCTTAGAGTAAAAAATGCATGAGCTCATATATATAGTAATAAACAGAAAGACATATAGTATCTTTTACATATGTGTATATATATACACACACATTCAGTATGTCTGTACATACATTTCTGTAAATGCTGTCATTGTGGTATGTGATTAAGTTATTATGAAGTTTGAGAACACACTTTTTCTAAGCATCTTAATTTGAAAGATTCATCTTTACTGTGTCCAGAGGTTCTGATGTCATGCCTTCCTCCCTACTCTATTACCTTTTCTCCTCTCCCATCCCTTCCCAAAGGCTGAATTTAGAAATTATGATAATTATGTTTTTTTAAAATGCAGCTGCAAAGGCAGTAGAGGAAGAACTTTGTATCCCCTTAACTTACAAGTGTTATAAAATAGTAACCCAAATAGGACCACTGGGTCAATAATAAAAACCTGCAGATAGTCAGGAGTAATACACAGTTCTGAAATAGATCCCTCCACTTCCCGCCTTCCTATTTATTTTTTAACAGTGAACATTGATCCCTGCAGTGAGGGGGGAAGAAGCTGAGACAGAATTTCAGTTTTTTATTTGTGTAGTCAGTCAAGTATATTGAGTTTCCAAAGAGTTTTAAAAGGGAGAAGCCCAGAAAATACAACATATCTCCACAGCATTAAAATCATTAAAGAAAAAGATTATAAAATCATAAAGCTGAGTCAGCACTGGAGTATGGCTGAAGAGAGAAATCCTACAGAAGGAACCAAGAGGTTACTATCATGGCAATGCATTGATCTGAGCAGGCAACAACCCTGTGCCTCCACTGGAAAGCTGTTGATCCCACTCATCAGTAACAGCAGCTGAGTCTTAGAAAGGAAAGGCTGATGTGCAACATGCTGGTTATTACAACGCTCACTCTCCTCACAGGAACAACAATTAGCTGTCAGGAGCCAGGAACTTCATGCCATCCTAGCACCAAAGGAAACTGGTCCTAATTATGAATTTCTCAGATTTTCTTACTCAGAAACAAAAGCATAACATGCTGCTTTATTTTATCAATCTTTTATCTCAAGTCAGAGTCTGTTCTTGTGTATCATTAGGCATCACATGTCATCCATTTAACTATCACTGAGCCGAATTCCTCTTTGTGTGTCTTGATCAGACAGGATATCAGTCTTGATGTGAAGGTATCAGAGGTCTAGTTTTGTGCTTGTGATAATTATATTCACTGCTAAAAGTTGATGCCTCCCATCCCCTCACCTTCCTGATTTCAGGATGTTAAGCTGTATCTGCCAGATACTCAAGATTATTAAAACTTTCTCCATTACATCAGAAGCACTTTAGTATCCATTACTTTCTTCCTATTACTTCCTGTTGCCATAGTTATGTCCACCATAGAGTCCCCTCTGTGGTGGGAAAGTGCTCTGTCCTTCACAGGTAAACTTGCCAACCTATGCAATACTCATACTGCATTTCAGTCCGCCAAGGAACCAGGTGAATAATCCAGCTGAGGGGGAGGCTGTCCTCTAGCTGTACCACCCCTCAGTGGTCAAAGATCCTCCCACCATTCAGCAGCTGACTTGGGAGCTGCTCAACAAAGATTCTTTAAACCCCTAACTCCAGCATCAAACATCGCCATTATCATTTGAGCAGCATTTTACCTTTTTTGTTCCCAATCCTTAATAAACCAAAATGTTCTGTTCTACAGTGCCATTTCCCAGTCCCACCCAATCCTACCAATAAGGTCTCTAGTCTGCAGGACATGAGAAATAATTCACTAAGGAACTCACTTACTGTTATATATTAAAACAAACAAAACAAAAGTTAGAAGAGGCTGGCAAGGACTGGCTGTACACGAACAGAATGCCAGAAGATACCACCTGGCCACCCCATTTCATTGCAAAAATCTGTTTCCTCCCAAGGGAATGTGAATCCATCCAAAACAGAAGCTGCAATAACCTTGTAAAATCCCCACTGATGGGAAACACCTGCTTTACATTGTGTACACACTAGTAACTTCTGAGCCTATGCTGCTGCCTAGATACATGTGTCCCTGTTAAAAAAAAAAGATGACCTTAAAGCTAATTCACACAAGAATGTAGGTCAAATTGCTCCACCTGTGTGCATCTACCTATTGCACACATTTTTCTGACAGAACTTCTATCCATTATCAGGGAAACACAAAGGAGAGCTACTAAGGGAACAAAGGCAGATGGTGACAAGACAGCAAAGGTTGTAATGAGATCTCTCAAAGCAGAAAAAGAGAAGCTATCTAAAGCCAAAACCGTATTTTTCAGCCTTTTTTCGTAGCATTGGCATGTGAAAGTAGATTTCAACAAATTCTAGTAGCAAACAATAAAAAATCCAAATATATGCAAATACATAAAGAGCAGTAAAAAGGCAGGTTTTGTTGTGGAGTTTGGGTTTGTTATGGTTTGGTTTGGTTTTGGGTGGTTGTTGGGGGGTTTTTTGAGTATTGCAAGCACCTGTCCTTTAGCCTTCTCTTTCCAAGACAGTGCTGCTACCCTGCTGATGCAGCACCCAGCGCCTGTCAGATTTCTTTCATGACTGCATCAAAGTGTCGCTTCCCATCTAAATACAACATGGACTCTGAAATAAAGTGGAGAAAAGAGAGAACCATATTAGAACTTAGTATCAATACTGAGCAACTACAACTACATAGATTGGCAAAAGCAAGAAGCAATCTACACTGTCATCAAAGCATAAAATAAATGTGGTTTGCCATGAAATCCTGTTAAATTATTCAAATGCCAATAGTTCATCTACTAAAATGACCAGTGTTTCAAGAGAAAGTCATCTTTTCTACAGAGTTATGATGACAACATATTCATTGGATACTTGCCTCCATATGTATTAGGTACAACCCGTGGGACCTCATTTTCTGATATAAATGTAAAATGGAAGATATTGGTAGTATGGTGCTCCCTGGTATTTGCATCATAAACTTCACTGTGCACTCGAATCTGGATGTAGTTTTTTTCCGTGTAAGAGACCTACACAGTTAAAACAAGAATTATAGCTTGTAATTTACCATTGGTGCTGGAAACTGCAACAGACTTCATTACACCATTTAACAAGAAAAGTCACATGCTCTCATAGTGCACTGTTTATTATCAGTGACTGGCAGTGATCACAGCAAAGATAAGGTTTGCTCCTTTTCGAAAAGAAATCAACTCCTACCTGTGCAGAAAGCAGTAATAAGGATCCAATCTCAACTGGCTTCTGAAACATGATATCATCAACAGATACAATAAAGGGTCTGGAACCCCTGAGGAAGCAAAAGAGAAATTTTGTCTCAAGAATAAAAAGGAGGTTTAGAGAAATTTAAAATATTTTATTGGCAGCATTTTAATGAAGGGTTGCTAGAGAACAAATCTCTTCCTTAAACAAGAGGCCACAGGAAGTGCTAATGAGTTATGTCATCACCAAAGACAAAAGTAACTGGAGGAAATATTTCACACCAATAAAAGTTCATGATCTGTAAGGACATGTTATTGCATCATTATTCTATCCTATGACTTACACTTGCTATATGATCTTCATGCCACCATTGCTCAGGCCTCAATTTTCCAAGCACTGACACAAACCACTTAACTTTGTTTCAGGCAATGCATACTCCATTTAACTGGCACACAGAGAGAGCTTTGCTGGGTGATGACTTCAGTCATGCTCAAGCAGTTACTAGAAGTTCAGAAACCATTCCTTTTGTGTATGGAATGAAAGGATGTAATATTTATTTGCTAGAATGTCTATTTTATATGGTTACAAAGAAAATGAATCTTCAAAAGTTCATCTGAATACCTTGGTAAGTTAAAAGAAAAGAGAAAATGGATGTATTTTCTATCTTCACAAGTGCTGCTTAAAAACCGAGCTCCAAGGAGCAAGATGCAAATCTCTTTGTAAATACAACAGGTGCCCTAAGTAAGACAGCACTGTGCACGAATAGTTCAAGATTCTACTAGACACCTAGGTTTTCTCAGCTCAGATAGTCATTAGGTTGGTTAGCTTGGCCTTCCTGACCTATGTATATGTGCATAGTGATCTGGATTATATAAATATTCCAGGCCTACAACTCACCCATAGCTGCAAGCAGTTGCCCATCCCAGTTCAAATGCCTTTCTCATGAGAAAACCCCCAAAGATTCTATTGAAGATGTTCCGTTCCTGTATGTAGAAACAAAAATCAAAATTCTTTTCAAAGGATTGTGTTGAAGTTTGCACTTCAGTTTACAGTATTTAACAGAAGTCCCAATACCTGAATATATAAAAAGCACTACTGAAATATACATGCAAAATTCAAAATGCCCAAGGCAACTTTACTTACTAGGAGCTCATCTGACTCATTTAAAAACACAAGATAACAACTCAAAACTGTGACAGCAACCAAAGGCCAAACTTTTTGCAAACACTTTACAAAGGAATTTCTTTACACAGAATGAATAGTCTAGTAAGAAAACAAGGTCACTAAAAATCTTCTATTTTGCAGTGGTAACCCATACAAATAACAAAAAACTGGCAAAAGAAACTATGATCTAAATACATTGCAAGGACTGCAGAAGTGAAACAAAATAATGGTTTGACTAAACTTACATAAAAATTCAACCTCTCCCACCAGAGCTCAAAACCCCATCCAGCCTGGCCCTGAACATTTCCAGGGATGGAGCATCCACAGATTCTCTGGGCAACTTGTTCCAGTGCCTCACAACAGTCATAGTAAAAACTTTCTTCCTACAATCTAATCTAAACCCCCCCTCTTTCAGTGCAAAGCCATTACCCTTTTTCCTGTCAATACATGTCCTTGTAAAAATTCCCTTTTAAAGTTACTTCTTAAGTACCTTTCTGTAATTCATTAATATTTTTCAAAATACCTGAGGATGGCAAATCTGCAGGCCTTTTAGCTTTGCATCTTCCATCCACACTGAATTGGGTGGTAATTTACGACTCCGGAAACTTACTGTCCTTTGGAAGAGACAAAAAACTTTATAGTCTACAGAATTAGCAGAATTCAGCAGCCAAAAATGCATAAATATTAAATGCAGACACATATTTAAAAAAACCCACAAAAATATGGAACACCAAAATAACCCCAAAACAGAAAGGGTGTCACTAAACACTGTTCCAACTGACCTTGAAGCCTTATCTAAGCTAGTACTTTGATTTGTTACTGCAATAAACCTATGCTCCTGATCCTTCAAAAACTTCTACTACTGTTCAAGTTTATGTGACTGATGAGGCTCGAGAAAAGCACATGAAAGAAAAGATGAATCACAACCACAAAGCACACACTTTGTCAGAAAAACCTTATTCTGTTTTTTTAAGTCATAATAGGAATTAAAAGCACACAATGAGCTAACAGAATAATTCAACATCAAACACACAGACAGTTTGAGGTTTTCAAATCCAGACAGAATGTGTACAAAATACATCTGCTAATTTTAAGGGAAAGCATGTCTCCCTTTAGTAAACAGCTTTAAAAATAACAACTGTATAATGTTTAAAAAATTATAAATTATCACAAATATAACACTGCACTACTGTCATTAGACACTGTTCTATCACCATGGGCATCAGATGATTTCACATCAATCTCAAATATAAGAAAAGTATGCCAACAACAGTCTCTCTCAAATAATGTTGTCAGGTATTATATTCAAAAACACACTACAAAGTTATTTGGTCATAATATGGCCAGTTCCTGTCCTCACAGGTTTTTTAACTAGGTATCATGGCAGAAAACTCTGAGACTGTACAAGTCATGGTTGCAAAACTAATCCATTCCCTTATTTGGTTAAACATGATTAACCTTTTTCCTCAAGATCATTCCTAACCTGAGCTTGCTCAGGTCTCTGTGCTTACAGTGTCCCTTTCAGCATCTTGGCACAGCTAACACTATGTATTAACTGAAGACTCTTTTGAGAGCTGCAGATGTCACATTAAAGTTTGTACCTACATTCCAAATAAAATGCCACAGAATTTAAATGTGTTCATTTATTCCAGACTACCCTCTTACGAGCACCCACTCAAAAGGTACTTTTCTCTTTCATAGTACATCAGTTCTCCTCCACCACTCCTCTTCTTACTTTGTGTCCAAAGTATGAAGGAATATGTCATGCACAATGTTTCTTTCTTCTGCAGTGGGAGCCATTTTCAGTAAGGAAGCAGTGCTGAATTCAATCCTCCTCAGCTTGTTCACTAAATATTAAAAAAAAACTCCTAGTATTAGAGTTCAGAGAAAAAAACAAATAATGGTTCTGACAATTTTAACTTGGAATCAACTGTCTTTCCTTTTTTCTTTTTTCCCCTGTAAGTTAAAAGCTGTAACTTCATGGTCCAATCAATTCAAACACAAAGTTGGCTTTTAGAATAACCTGCATCAAAGAAAAAATAAAGCAGAAGTTTACTGCTACCTCCACCACTTTGATGAAGAACTTCAATACGTGTACTATGATACCCACTGCTTCTACAGAAAACTTGAGTACTACCCTCAAAATACAGAAAAACATACCTAACAAGAAACCCTACAGAACCTTCGGGCTTTGCCAATGGTACATGAATGGAAATTTATGACAGAACTCGTTACCATAGGCTGCAATGATTGAAACTTTAGCTTAAAAGATCTTCTGTCCAGTTTATTCAGTCTTCAATGTTTCTCTAATTCTCTGCTTTAAAACTTCATCTTGGAATAAAAGAAGATGGAGCTAAACACTCCTTCCCCTGCTCTCCCCCTTTTCTTTTTCCCAGTTTCTGTCCTAAGGGAACATGGGCACCCAGATAGCAAGGAGCTGTGTTGCACTTAGCAGGTCCACCATGGGGTAATCCATCAGTCAGAGCATTAGGAGAGCCTGGGCTGCACTCAGACCCGAAGTGGAGGGAGCATCCTGCAAACACAGGAGTCCAGGGGGTGTGCAGGGCACACCAGGAGCACCCTTATCTGTCAGTTTAGCCAAATAGTTTCCAAGTATGTGATAGCAGACTTTGAAACTCTCTTACACTACTGACACACAAGCCAGAAAAAAAATTTGATATTATATAAATTAGGAGCATTTCTAAGTAGCAGAAACTCCTGGTTTACTTCCTTCCAGCTATTAAGTTGAACCTGAGGCAGATGTACATACTACCAGGAAATACGACATACATTCCCCTTGCTTGAAGATTTCTTCCTCCTCAGGACTCTCAGGAATGAGTGGATTAACAAATGCTGGCCTATGGACAGGAATTTTTTTTAAATTACAAACTTAGCAAGAATTCATTCTATAAATACATTATAATAGTCTTCCATTTTTGCTTACATACACACTACAAGATGAAAAGATATACTTCAGGTTATATCATAGAAATAATTGCATTATTTCATAATGTGGAGCTGCCAAAAGAACACCCCATTAGTTTTAACTCTGAAGAAGCAGTTAAGTGATCCAAACACTACCTAGTGTAATTAAGAAAGAGATGTGTCTCTCCCTCTTAAGAAGATAAAATTGTACCTATAAATTATAATGAACATTATTCAAGCAGAAAGCTGCTTAGAAACTCAGCAAATGAAGCCATGATGATTTAGGATAGACTAAACCAAAAACTGAATGGTACCATTCCTCCTGGAATAGAAAGAGCACAGTGGCATAGTTAGTAAGTGTTTTTATAATCTACATGCTCCCATGACAGCCTTATCAACAGCCAAAAGCTGTTTACCACGTGTACTACTTATCAAAGAAGATTATGACATGCCTTGAGCACAAATTTTTATGTTTATTTTACTGCACAAGTAAGTTTACTTTAACCTAATTATATGACATTTAATTATTTTCAAAAGTAAAGGCAAATGGTTATTTTCAAGAACCATTCTTTCCTGTAATTCCTAATTATTATTTATACAAATGCTCCAAACAACATATACACACACACAAAGTATGTGCTGAACAATCCACCTCTACCCCAAGTCTTTCCTTGTGCTGGTGACAAGAGGCACACAGAGAGAGGATCTTTTCTCCTATAACAAACTGCTCTTTCCTGGTTTGCTAAACCTCTGGATTTTGAAGACAAAGCAGCTCCTTCTCCACTGCAGAGTTTATTTCCCCTCTCCTCAGCTCAGGACACATCTACCTCAGCTCTCCTGCCCAAGCCCCAAGCTGTGAGATGCAGTTTGCTATAGTCCAAAAGGCACACAACCACATTTCTGTGGCACTACAGCCAACCTATTGTACCCTGTACCTCTCTGAAGGGTTTTTACCTCACATAAATACCCTCCTTATATGGACAGAAACACAGCTGGCTTACGGCCAGCTAGCCTGTACAACAGACACTGAAGTTTGCATCTATCTGCACAAGTCCATGTAGGCTTGTCCTCAGTCAATCTGCTAGTGCATAATGACATCAGATTTGATGTAATTATTTTGCAAAATTAGTCCTTAGAATGGGAACCATGATTATAAGTGGTTTTCTTAATGTACAGTGTGTTCATTGGTTCTAAAAAAAATCTGAAGGAAACCAAACTAAAAACTACTTCTAATGCTATCAGGACTACATAATTAAATAAAGTAAAACCCCTTCATTAAACACACCCTTCTTCATTAAATAGAAGCAATTATTTAAACTAGTTGGAAAGAGGAAACAGTTTATTACTTTGGTGGGCTATACAGGAAAGAGGTTAAGGAATACAACCATTTATCTGATGCTGGAGTTATAAAGCAAAACTGCAACTGAGCAGCCTCTTAGTTTAATGACTAAGGAATTATAGATAAAGTAAAATCAGAAAAATAACAAAATTAGTGTTTAGGGGGTTTTAAAGTTCTGTGGGAATACTTATCAGTTCCATGTTAGTTACACATGCAAGTTGCAGCCTGAATTATTCTGGTGACACTTATCAAGTGTCTATTAGGGAATTAATGGTATTGTTCACTCAAAGACTATTTAACTACTGAAACTCCATCTTTAGCTCTAACAGCTACTAGAATGGAAGTGGGTTTCTGGCAGATTTATTCACTTCTTGTGTTCATTCAAGCCAGTCACTCAAACAAAGGGAAAATCTGTTAAAGAAAAGGGTCAGCTCCCAAGACTACCAGCAAATCCTGGTATCATTTGACTGCTGAAATCAATACTCTGAAGCTTGTCACAGGAAAGTTAACACTTGCCAGCAGAAAACATTGACTATGTGATTTATTTAACACTTACATTATAGGGCTTCCACACAGAGAGAGCAAGCTGCCACATTTGCCATTTTCAGCACAGCAAGAGTCAGAAAACTATTTTCCTGTCCTACAAATTACCGTTTATTCTCTGGGTCCCGGGCCACCATGACAAAGGTTGCATCTAACACAGGGCTGTAATCACCATCATGTAGCTAAGAGAGACAGAAAAAAAATGTATTATTAAACTCTAAAATTGTAAACATGCTTAGCAAGCTCTTTAGTTGACATCAACTATGCGGCCACACCGTTAATTTTGCTTACTTTCACATTGTCATCCCTTCCAACATCTCTCACAATAGGTCAAAGATAAGGAAATAATGCAAATTAAAACTTTAGTTTCAGGAATTCTGCAGTAAAACATTTAGCAGGGAATGCTTATTAACTGCTTTCAGCTGGGAGAAGAGAAAATCAACACAGACATTGTAAAAGTACCCACTTAACATTTATTCTTAAAAATGCCGAAAAATACTTTTTTGTTAATACCAAACTGCCACTAATGCCAGCACTGCAAGGAACTCTGACAATAAAGGTGTAACATTATCTTCTACATAAGAGATTTTATTTAAGGAGACCAAGAAAATCAAAAAATATTTATCTGTTTTTCTGAATTATCACAGAATCATAGAATCTCAAAATGATTTGAGTTAGAAGGGACCTTAAAGACCATCTAGTTCCAACCCCCCTGCCATGGGCAGGGACACTTTCCATTAGACCAGGTAGCTCAAAGCCCTGTCCAGTCTAGCCTTGAACACTTCCAGAGATGGGGCATCCACAACTTCTCTGGGCCACCTGTTCCAGAACCTCACCACCCTCACAGTAAATAATTTCTTCATAATATCTAATCTAAACCTACTCTCTTTCAGTTTGAAGCCACTGCCTCTTGTTCTGTCACCACAGGCTCTTCTAAAAAGTCCCTCTCCATCTTTCTTGTAGGCTCCTTTCAGGTACTGGAAGGCCACAATCAGGTCACCACAAAGCCTTCTCTTTTCCAGGATAATCAGTCTCAATTCTCTCAGCCTTTCCTCACAGGGGAGGTGCTCTGACTATTACCCCTCTGACTATTTTAGTGGCCCTCCTCTGGACTCACTCCAATCATTTAAGTGTTTATAGGATATCTTTTTTACTCTAAATAATTAAATAACTGAATTAATGTTTCCGTTAACTAATGAATTCACAGTAAATATTTATTAGAAATGTTAAGATTTTTTAAATTTAATTATTAATGTTCCTTTTGCTTCCTGCATAGTGTAGCCTAGTTACAGCCTTCATTTATATTCCATTATTATTTAATAACTCATTAAAAAAATTATGCTACACAGTAGATAAGATGAGCACATGAGATACAATTTAACATCAAGTCTGAATACCAACATTAAAATTCATAAACCTATAAAATGATAAGGCATAAGGAAAATAAAGTTTTTCAAAAGCAGGGAGAAGCTTATTTGAGAGCATGCAGAGCACAGACACCTATTTTTTTCAGTAGGAGTACTGTGCTGCACTTTAAATACAAAATACTGGTTAAGAAAAACACGTCTTGAAAGATTAGCAAGACTGCCTTGCTGCATCGAGACTACTGGAAGCTGTCTTGGTCTTCAGAACATTAGGGCTGCCTCAAGCCCTTCAGAAAGTTATTCTAGAATATATAATTTAGATTGCTCAAGCCATTGTCCAGAATTTCCCCTGAAGCACCTCATGCCTGTCATAAGATGGAGAGAAGTCACAGGAACTAACCTGCAGCATGTGCATCGTCACTTCCATTGAGGTCTTCCCAACCCAAGAAACATTGCCTGTGAATTTGATGTCACAGTCTGGATATATAATCTTCTTGCACAAATCTACAAGACAAACATTAGTGTTTACTGGAGGCAGATCACTCACATCTAATACTCGAAAGGCCAGATTCTCTAAGGCCTTTCTGTGTTCTGAAGGTGGCAACACACGCAAAGACAACCCAGAAAAGCCGGTTGTTGCAAAGGACCAAACTGCTAGTCTGCAGTTTCTGCCTTTCCAGACTTCTCAAGCCAGAACTGGAGTAGGAAGCAGTCACACAGGTGGACAGCAGACCCCTGGAGGTGTTCAGCAGAACATGTGAGACAAGCAAGGTCCCAACTCCACCAGAACAAACACTGTTCTATAATGAAGCTAAGAAACCCGGGTGCCAATAGAAAACTAAACACAGAAGTGAAGAAAGCATGAAAGTTGTATTTTGAAGTGACATATGAAATGCTAAAAAGCACTACAAAATCCTCTTCTCTCCTTCCTTCAACAAAAGCCACAATACTTGAGAGTTCAAGGCCAAAACAAGATGAAGTGAACTAAACAGGAGAGTGAAGAAGGTATCCTCAACAACCATGGGAAGGCAGTGGCTGCTGAAAGAGTAAGACAAACAGATGAAACCATTTCTACTGACCAAATTGCCACTTACTGATTTTATCCACCAGAGCTGTGACTATGGATAAGGGAGACTTTGGCTGCATTTCCTGCTTGGTGTGAGTGTAGCAAATAAGAACTATGGAGAGATCAAAAATTGAGTCAGCTCTTTAACAAAATCATTAGTGGAGCAAATCAAAGCCATCTTGCAAAGCATGAGAAGTACCTGCAAAACACAAACTAAAATATCCTACTGTAGGAAAGCCCAACTTCCACATTTTCATGCAAGTAACACATGGGATTGCTGTAAAGAAAACAGTGATGCAGCAGTTCAGTTTTATGCATATTTACTCACTACAAAGAAAAATTTAGCTAAGCACTTTAAATCAACTCATCACTCTACTCCAAATCCTACATAATCTCTTTCCTCTACCCCTGAAGCCCACTCAGATTCTTCCAATCTTCTGTTTTGATTTCATGCAGGTTGCCCAAGGATACATGTTATTTGAGGACTTTTAAAATACTGATTCCTTTAAAGAGGTGAAGATTAAATAAGATGTGCCTTACAGGCATGAAAGCACAGTCAGAGATATTTATCACACCGCAGTCACTAAAAGCCAAACCATTATTTAAACTAATTAGCTTTGTTCTTAAGAGCACATCCAAGTAAACAGACTCCTTAGAGTAATTCAAGGCTGCAAAAATAGGGTTTGTCCTAGTGCTCACGTGACTTTCACTCAACATGGATTTCCATAATCAAAAGTATCTGTTTGGACTTAACAAGATAAGAGAAGAAAGATCTCTGTCCTTCCAAGTAATCTATGTTTTCCCCTAAAATTACTGGAGACACAGTTCTAAAACCTGTTATGCCTATCAACTCGTTACATCAATATGGCCATCCTGAATATTTTGTACTTGGGACAGAATCTTGATTAACCCAAAACAATACATCCCCAGCGGAACTGACTGGAGCACAGTATGACTGCAAACAAGGCAGACATTCTGTGCCATCACAGGAAAAAAAAAAGGTCTTCACAGATTTTCAGGGAAAATAAACAAGGCAAAGAATGAAAAACAGGCTCCTCTCATCTAACAATGGAGGGTAGCCAACAGTTTGAGGTCTCCTTTTCTAATTCAGGACAGGTGCTGAAGCCAGTACCTTCCACCTCCCAGAAGGAAATATAAATCATCCAGCTATTGTGTCTATCCTAGATAGACATACATTCCCTTCTTTCTCTGCCTTCCTCAATTTTGTGAATCTGGACCCTCAGAAGGAACAGAAAAAAACCGTTCCATTCACAGCTTTCCCTTAATAAGCACTTATTCTGTGTCAAAAACCTCCATTGAAAAGCTCCCAACCAGCTACAGAACTTTGATGAAGAAGAAGTCACCTGGTGACTTTTTAAGATAAAAGTATCTCCAAGTTCTATTAACAACCTAGCACTTATTTTAACTGCAATACAAAAGTCAAAGATCTTTAACTTTTCAAGACCACAAATAAGTGAAAAGAAGAAAAAAAATTAAGGATGCTAACTCATGAAATAACTGACCCAGTTTTACCCTCAATATCAATTTGGAGACAGAATCCAAGAATATACATCAATTGTTTTTAATTTGTTCTCAGTGGTTACATTCTGTTCTTTCCAGATTATACACTCTTCACCCCAAAGGGAAGATTAAAATATTTCCAACCTCTGTTGGGTTTTGTGTCAGTTTTTGTTGAGTTTTTTTTAAGAAAAAACAATCGTAAGTTTTAATTTTCAATACACACTGTGCAAATTATCTCTGAGTTAACACTCAATGCAGATTCATAATCTAGAATCACTTTTCAGTAAATTATTCTTGTAACTAGTCCACTAAAAATTTGACAGAGGCAAGAAGTTGAAGTGGAACAATTTTGTTTCTGTCTGTTCTTTATCATCCATCCTTTCTTTCCAGCATCAGTGTCTTTCTTTTTTTCCTTCCCCTTTGAGATAGCACAATTATGGGATTCTCTGCCTGAGGTCATACTGTATCACACCAAACAGTGCTCAGCAGTACTCAAAATCACTTTGTGGAGTGTTTAAAAGGGCACAGATACATACCTCCTAAACTGTCAAGATCTTCAAGGATCCTTCCAAATCTGTAAGACGGGTTTTGACAATTAAATACCTACTTACATAGCAAGTGGAAGTTAACAGTTTCCTGTATGTGTCACATGGTTGCTTTGTTACCTTACACTGTTGTGTACGTTCAGGTACTTTTCTCTTATTTCAGGCTGACTTCCTAGAGGTAGAATAACTTCCAAGTAGCTATCCTTCATTCTTCTGGGAGGGAGATCTTCCTGACATTTTGCCAGCAAAGTATGAAGAGCTTTTCTTTCTTGCATTGCTTGCACATGATCACTGGTAAGAAAAAAAACAATCTGTCTAGAGTATGACAACACAACTGCAACCCTAGCTAAAAGATGTCACACTGATGATTATCAAAATGAAAACCAAAACGTAGTAAAAATAGCAAGACACAGTAAGTGAGCCTTGAAAAGAAAGTGAGATGCACATAATGACAGATGCTAAGCAAGACTACTGCAGAAAGTTTTGAAATATCTTTGTGTACAAGTGGCAAGCACATACTTCACACTTATGAACAAAATTAATCTAATTCTGAATGTAACCAAAATGGTTCCCCTTGAAAAGAACAAATCAGATATAATTTAACCTATGAGTTTTTGTGCATACTCATGTCTTCCATAGCTACAGTATCACAACTCTTGCCACAGTGACAATTTTAAAGAACTGAACATCAATTTATAATCTCTCCCAAGAAGTAAAGCAGCTGTACGGTGTTGACTAGTACTAAGAACAAGAGAACTAACCTGCTAAGATTTGCTATCATCCACAGGTGAGTTGCCCCTTCACAGCATCAGTTCATACAGCAAGCTAAAAGACAGGGAAAACTAACCTATTTCTTTCTCTCTCTCTCTTCCTACCCAGACATCTTACAACTATATAGAAAAGTTACAGAAAGAAACAATACAGAGAAGGGAGCACTGCTCCTTTCGAGCTACTTTTCCAGCACCACCAACTCAGAGGGGCTGCAACTCTCACAGTCGAATAAAGGCCAACTTACTGTCACTTCTCTGCAGTCTACCAAGTTGGTTCCTTGCACAGGTATCTACAAGATGTAAGTCTTGCCCAACGTTCTCTCTTACCTGTTCCACCAAAGTTCCCTCCTCTTAAAAGTGCAACCTAACCAAATAAAGCAAATATTTCATAACATCCCTAGAATCTATCAAAAACCTAAGGGTTAAACGTGCAACAGCTCCAAGGAGTATGCAAAACTATGGATCCATTTCATAGAGCAAGGGAAGGCATAAAACACCAAGCAACCAACGTTAAACTTCTGGATATGCATCATTCCTTCAGTTGTGCACGCTGCATTGCTGAGATCAGTGACACTGTGCTTAACAAAACCAGAGAGGGAAAGAGAGAAGGAAAGAGAGGGGGGGGGGAAAGGAAGAAAGGGAGAAAGAGAGAACCTTTTCACCAAAAAGAAAATTTGTCTTAAGTTTTGACTTTGGATGAATTCTGGGTATTAGCCATTTAAGATGCAGGCTTACTTGGCTTGAGTTTTACTTCAGAAAGTCAAGCTTCACCATATTTATATTCTCTCTTTTCTGTTTAATAAGTTTTGGGGAAATATGAATAATCCATGATCAAAGAGAGTAAAAGTCTAGCAGAAAACTTCAGTTAGTTTTATTTGTTTGTTTGTTTTAAACAGGAGATATGGTTTACCTCATCTTGGCAACATGACTACCACAGAGTTCAGAGGAAACAGAAAGATAACAACCTCCTCCAGAGGGTTAATGTTTGAAGTTATGCCACTGCATAGAAATAGAATATACGAGATGATTAAGGAAAGATGTAACATTCAAGACGATTCACCTTCAGGCTTTTTAAAAAACTTTTTTCTAAGGTCTCTCAGTGAAAGGTTTAAGAGAAGTTAATCAAAGAGTGTATCAGAAATTTGTCTACAAACACAAAGAAACCAAACAATAAAAATTCAATTATATTCTATTTTCACCAGTCCCATCCTGGTTCCTCTGAGGTCAGCAGCAGAACTCTTCTTGACTTCCACTTCAGAATTTGCACTTCAATATACAGAAGTGGGGCTCAACGCAGTAACATTTTTCAACAAATACTGTTACACACTGCAGTATTAGTCATACAGTAACAGTAATTCACCTAATTATTAACTAACACTCACCCTAAACATTCTCAGAAATGTTCATCTATTTCTGAAATGTCCACAATCCATCTAGACTATATTTAACAAGGAACAGATTAATAATTTTAATTACAATTTAAGTACAAAACCAGAATAAACATATAAGCAAGATATTTCTTTTTAATAACAAATGAATACAAAATGCCACTGGCCTTTACAAGAGAAATCACAAACTGAAGTTTACTTTTCACAAAATTTATGGCTGAAGGTGTTCCTCCAACATGCATCTCTCCTCTCTCCCAACAATCCAGATGTATGTACATCAGTCCTTCCTTAGCTGCAATTTCAGGACCCCTATCATCCTATTCTCTCAGATTTGTCCTCTTCAGTCATACTGTGGCCTCAATTTCATCCCCAGCTGTTCAGTCTCCACATGTATCAGCTCTTTGTCACTGTGTTTTAAAAGTGGGATCTCAAAGGCTACATGATCCATGCCCTCCCAACCTCCCCATATTAAACCTGTCATTCTCAAGCACTCCCAGCTATGGTCTCCCCAGCTTTACTTCTCCATGGCTGCTGAAGCATTCAGTACTCTGTAAACCATTTCTGCTGCATCTTGCACAGCACAAAAGACATACCTGTCTAAGAAAAACACTGCTGTGCTGATCCTGGCTTCAGTATGCTCTCCTTCCAGGATGGGGGCAGTGGGTCAGATTTGACCAGAGCCCTCTAAAATCTCAATCCTCCGATGGTATTTCCATATGGAGTCATTTCTCCCCAGCCATTCTGGGCTGTGGGAAAAGCTTTTTCACAAAACAATTTCTAGAGCCCTTTCTAGCTGACCCACTGAAAAATTTCAAGCCCCTTCATGCTTAGATCCTACTCTTACTAAGCAAAAATCAGCTTCCTGGAGTCAGGCACTTTTGTTAGCATGCCTACAATTCTGCCTAGATAAACTGAATCAGAAGACCTTCATCAGACGTTCCACCCAGGTGAGCCACTCTTTATTTCCCTATCAGTGCATAAAGTGTGTAAGAAGAGCAAACACAGCCATAAGAAAATTAACAATACACATGTGACCAACCAAGCTGCAATACAGAATTCCCCTAAAGTGCTATGCTGAATTTTCCAGAATTGTAACAGTAGAGGATTACAGACAACTCTGGTTTAGTCAATGTAATGCAGAGGGAAGAAGGCAACCTGAATAAGGTCAAAACATCAATCATTTAAATTATATGTAAATTAGTCAAAAATGAAGTTAGAGCAGACAAAGGAAATGCTAAAGATGCTCATGATTAAGGAGACCCTGATACTGAGGTGACAAGTTTCCAAAGTGACATGCAGCCTGCTTCACAGTGAACCAGCCTCTGAATCCAGTGCAGGATAAATTCACCATGTGGGCAATCCACTTAGAGATAACTCAAAGGTAACAGCAACATGACATTGCCAGCCAGACTGACTCTACAGTTCTTAAACTTCCATTGGATTCAAAGCTAACAGGACAATCTTTTACACATCAACATCACATATTTTGTTCCTTTGGTGCTAAAGATCTTCTGCCAGAGAAATCTCAGAAGTTTGTGATCCACAAAGTACCAATTCAGAAGCCTTGTTTCAACTACCTCAGTTTCACAAATAAAGTAAAATACATTTAATGCACACTGTACCTCCAGTTGGCAGATGCTCCCACTATATCCCTCAACTTGTTCCGCACTGGAAAAAAAAAAATCAAAGCAAATCAAGCTTAGTTCTCCAAGTGATGAACGTGAGGTTGCCTGGCGTTAGAAGGCATAATCCTCATCCCAGAACAAGAAAATTAAACAAATTCATGCAAATAGCAGCCCAGAAACAAAAGTTTGGCCAAATTCACTGATGCTGTTAGTAGGCATATCACAGTAATGGGTTGAGTAACATGATGCCGTAGCTTATTGTGTACAGCCAAGAAGGTGTTTGTTAGTGCAGTCACCGCCAGTGCTAATTAAGAGCTGAAACAGAGAGTGGATCAAGATCAGATTGAAGAATTATGGTATGAAAATATTACAGCCTAAACACAAACTGTGGAGATAAATCAGAAAGTCATAAAAGAACATAAAAGGGAACAGTGCAGCTGTGAGAAAGGGAATGAGAAGAATACCAATTCAACAATCCCACCCACAAAGGCAAGTAACAGCAGCAGCCTGGCTCTCACCAGCAGGGTTTTAGAGCCCAAATTTTTAGCAGTCTCCATGTTATGATACTGAAGACAGGCCTAAAAAATTTATTCTGGCCTTGTTTGTACTATCGAAGTGGTGGATTCTCCATCCTGGAGGTTTTTAAGATGAGACTGGATGTGGCACTTAGTGCCATGGTCTGGTAACCACAGCGGTGTTGGATCAAGGGTTGGACTTGATGATCTCAGAGGTCCCTTCCAATCCAGCTGATTCTATGATTCTATGATCAGAGTTAATATAAGTTCTGCACAAATCTTTCCTAAATTTCAAGAATAATCTGCACAAGCAGGTTTTCTACTCTTGCTCAGATGAGGTTGTGTGCCAAGGTCCCATCAAATCTATTAAACTACCCTATTGCTGTCAGGCAGGTAAATGTTGGCTATTTGGAAACACCTGAAAACAAGCAGCAACAATTCCCATGCTCCAAACAGAAGCTGAGAATTGTATAGTAGGGATTCCTTGCTTATTTGCAAATATTTTTTATACAAGGAGGTTCAAGTATTAGGACAAAATAGAGACATATCAAGCAAGGGCTACCAAAAAAACATCCAAAATTTCGTGGTGAAATAGAAAGAGGGCTGCTGGTGAGCCACAAGCTGATCCTTTATCAGGCTTGGCATTTTTCAAGCTAAATACCCTGTCAGACTGTTCACAGTGATCAGCAAACTGTCCTGTGAACCCTGGAGCGAGTCTAGCATGATTCCCTAGGATTTAAATTCCCCTCTCTCAGTCAGACCCACTCAGCTCAGCCCTCCTCCTTCTCACACAGTTTCTGCCCAAGTCCCCCCACAGCACCACCACAGCAATACCCCAAACCTTCTCTTTCTTGTTCCTTCCCTTGCAGCACCCTCAGCCCCCGCCCCTACACTCCCAGCCTGTTTTTGCTCTGTCTGCCCGAGCCAGAGGCAGGCAAAGGGCTGAGTGCCAGCCCCCACATGGATCCCAGTCGCTCTCGAACAGCCAGCAAACACCATGGTCTGTGGGTGACCCCAGCACTAGCTCTGGCACTCTAACAAGCCTCTGATTTAGAAGCCAATTTTCACAAAGCTTGTGTAAACACGTTTCCCTTCGAGATTGGTGGCTCATCTATTTTGGCTGATATCAAGCAACAAAAGGTTCTGAAAGAAGAGGGGGACAGGAAGATAGGCAAACAAAGACAAAACAAAATAGATTGCTTAGGCCTCATTTAATTATTAAATTAGGCTAAAAATGTTTTGAAATGAGAAGACTTCCACTACTAATTCTAAGAACAAAAAAAAAAAATTCCAGGGAAAGAAAGTGATTAAAAATCTTGAGAGTTGATTTTTTTTTGAAGGGAAGAAGGTCTGATTCTTTTTTATTTAAGAGGCAGCAGGCTTATTTACAGAATAGGTACTACTTTCCTGTTACTCATACTCCATCTGTGAAGCCGCCATAGCATGCGCTTGGTAAATACAGTGTTAGCAGAAACAGTTACAGCTTCTAGAACACAAAACCTCAATTTTTCAACAGTGCAGACTGTGCTGGGATGGAGGAGGAATAAACAGCACTTTCTCCTTGTTTAAACTAAGTTCGTCTTCCTTTTAAAAGCTCTGAAAAATCTCAAGTTCAAACCTGCAAAAATGTATATAAGCTGTTACTCCCATTTAATACTTCTGATTTCAATTTTAGACGTACAAACATTTGCCAGGCTGAGAACACATAATTTTTACCTTAACAATAAAAGGGACTACATGCAAAAGCATTTCTAAAATGTTGCCAAGCTAAATCTAGTCTATTTTATAGTTCATAAGCACATAGTTTTGCTCTTTTTTTTTTTCCTCCTTCTTGGAAAGACTATACTGCCCTTCTAGATATTATGTATCTTACAACAGAAATTTAAGTAATTAAGCACAAAAATCCATTAACTATTTCTCTTTTATTATTTGGCAAATGTCTTAAATGTGCAAAATGGGACTTATCCATCATTAGCATGTTGCATATTTCACAGTATCTTCTAAACTCTGAGCAGTGGATCATTAATGCCAGAGCAGCAGGGTCTGAGTTTATTTGCACTGTGCTGTGGCAAAGGACACAAGGACAGCTGGGCAAGATCACCGCATTCATCTTTGCCAGTGAGATCCATATCTTTTGTCCTGGTGCCTTCCCAGGCTGTATCCAGGTTCAGGTAGACACTGCAATGTATTTGACCACCAGTTTTGGTACAGAGCTTGGTCCGGACTCAGGTGAAAGATGCATATTCCAATGTCTAAAATGAAGCCAAGTACTGCAGGAGCTGCTGCTGTGAGAGATTTTGTATCCCACAAGCCTCTTAGACATGTGTTATCCAGGACAGCACCACAAACACAGTGTGCTGACAGAGATCTGGTCCAACAATACTGCCACAAGTAAGATCAGAGCCATTCACCCAAGGCAAAGTGGCTGTAAGCAAGTGGACAGAGAAGAATAATAGCATTTCATTTTTCATGAATACTAAAGTAAGGAAAAACAGTAGCTGAGTAAGTTTAGTGCTATAGCAAATACTTTAATATGTACAGATTACCACAACACACCATTATTCACATGAATAGGTGAATGTCCTGTGGAGTAGAAAACACAGGTTAGATTACCAATCAAAAGAAACAATGCAATTTACATCTAATTTAATCCAGTAAGGAGTTACCTGGTTATTCTACCTGCTTCAGTTCCATTCAGGCACATGTTCCTTAATGTTAGTAACTGCAAGCAACCTGTCCTTGCCTGATTTACAGTCAGTATCTTGGTGTTTTCAACTCAGTTTGTCCTTTCCTTACAAGTTAGCTTTGCAGTTCCTTGTCTACTGACTCTTTGGTATCTGCTTGCTGCATAATCCCAAACGGTTTTTCAAACCTGGTGCTACCATATGCTGTTGATAAACACTATTAACTTTGGAAAGAATAACTGCAGCATTTTCCAGGAAGTGGGATGAGAGTTATCTCAGAGGAAACTTCCAAAGTCCTGCTTCATGTAGCCTTTGGGAGAACCATGGAAGAAAGGGCACTCACAACTGGGACCCAAAGCTGGGAGGAAGCATGCAAAAAGCTAGTTAAGAAAAAGTATTTGTTTTTGTGAATGCATGGATACATAATTAAAGGAAAGTAGTTTATGTATCAGCAAGGTTTGTGTAACATTTAAATGCTACAATTTTGAAACAGAATCTCAAATGTGTACAGTTATTACAATCCTCAAAATATTAGTACCTCTTGAAGTTCTAATATTGGAGCACTAATCAGAGGCAAGGCCAGGATGGCCTTAACGCTTCACTGTTCTTACAAGCCTTTTAAATATCTAACTAAACAATCAGGATAATATTTGCAAATATGCAATATTCTGTATCCTTGCTTCTCTCCCTTAATGTCCTAAATTACCATTTATTAACGACAATGAAAATAAGTTCTCTAGTAATGAATGACTCTCATTTTCTCTTTTACTTGATAACTTCTATTTAGAGAACAAAGGAGAAAAGAAGATCTCAGACACAAGTAAAACTCCATCAGAGAATTATTTGTACCTGGCTCCAGCCTTTTTCCTCCTGCCCTTTTCTCAGTTCAAGGGATTAGAATGCAAGAAAAAAGTTTTAAAGCTTCTGAAACAGGAACACTATGGTTTATTCTTTCAGAGTGCTGCAACAATCTTTCCACACAAAGATCTATTGACAAGAGCAATTTCATGAGGCAATGCTGCTGATCTGATTAAAAGATTTCTCCAAGTTTACAAAATTAACCATATTGACACATTAAAGTTCTGTAAGACATTATTTCCACTCAGTTCCCCCACTTCTTGGCCATTCTCTCCAGTCCCATTGTACCTGTCTGTACTACGCTGACTTTCTATCTAGATCCAACCTGAGCAGCATTTATCCTGCCAGAAAAGAACCTGTGCTCTTCAAAGACTAGAGAACCAGACAAGCCCCTAAATTGCAACTTCAGTGATTATACTTGTGCCATTAACCCCCAAACAAATACAGTCACTTTCTGCTGCTTCCTAAACCCTTATACCATGACCGAACAGCCAAAACCATGCTCATTATCCAAACAATATTAATACATGCAAACAATATTAATACACTATCCAAACAATATTAATACATTAATACACTACCTGAAAGAATAAATTCCTTAGAAACATCATTAAATCTTCTGGAGTACAGTCAATTACTTTACCTTCAAACATGTCTAGAAGCACTGGGGAGCCAGTGGTCCCAGAAGTAAGTGTCCTAGCCAGAACAGAAGGAAGCTTCCTCATGATGCACAACCTACAGGCAGAGTAGAAGAATTTAGTGTCATTAAAAATAATGCCGTGAAAATAATTTAGGATTTAATTTTGGAATGATGTTGATTATTTCAGAAACACCACTCCTTATTTTCAGCTTGATTTTAGAACTAGATACAATCAGTACAACAGTTCCAAGACAGTTAAAATTCCAGCTGATACCTGTACTTATCTGAAAACGGGAAGGAAGGATGATTCACTGGCAGTAATCGACCTCTTCACTGACTATTCAGATGCCCTGGGACAACCAACTTAGGCCCAATACTAGCTTCTACCCTGTAGCATCTTAACACAGACAGGGTCCATGTGCATCTAGAAAATCATCCATGACCCCATCCATACACTTCTCTAGCATGCATAGCAGTGGAAGGAGGAATATCTCAAGAAGGATTTCTCAAGGTCTCCCAAGCAGTCCCATTGAGCTAAGCCTGGTCTTCTCCTCCACGGGTTAGTACTGCAGCAACTCAGGACAAGCCTAAATTGCAGGATATAATCCTCTTAGCCATTAAGCAAGAAGGGACAACCCTGAAACCCTTCAGAGAATGTAATCCACTCACAATTCAGTAAGTGTTCTACCAGGTAGTGGCCACCACTACTCCTCCAGTAAGCAAAATTGTGGTAACACAAAAACACAGAGGGTCGGCAAGTGGAAAACCCCTTGTGACAGTTCACAGCATCATCCCGTCAGGGAACATGGATTACCGGTCCCTTAATTTTCTTCAGCTGGGACTGGGGTTTCACCTCCAGAAAGAAAAGGTGGCAGGTCCTCAGGCACCAGCAGAAAAGCAGGGCCATATCTATCTGCATATATACCAGCAATACTTAGGAGAGTGAAGGGGAACACACACAAAACCTCCTCAGAATCCAGCAGTCTCGTATGCACCAGAGATGACGTGAATGGCAATTCTGAAACGCCTCCGTAACTGCTGGAGCCTCTGGACTCGTGTGTCCCGC